CAGGCCCCCTCTTCCTGGGCTGCCAGGCCTCCTTTGCCCCTGGCCATGTTAACAACCCAACTTTGCCCACCCCCACAGCCACCACCACACTGCGTCCAGCCACACCTGTATCTCAGGCAGGGATGTGGGTCCTTCCCAGTATGGCCACCCTCTTGCTCACCCCTTTGCTGGGAGTCCCAGCAGTCCTCCATGGTCGCTTGCAGGCGAGGCCCCCAGGAGACTGTGTGCAGTCCGAGCCCCACCCCTGGGAGGGGCAGCTGGGTGGGGCTGCCAGAGTCCTCCCCAAACGAGCACAGAACCTGTTTTGCAGCCCAGGTTGGAGGCAGGACCCAGCCCCTAGCAGGTCAGCTGGCGCCTGGAGCAGAGGAACAGAGCAGCTAAGATCCTGGGTGCAGACTGGGAGGACTTAGGCCCGGGCATGACTGAAATACTCATAAGTTTGTCTAATTTTGCTTTTAAATTTGATTCTTTAAAATCATTTATTTACCCTGCTCCAGAACATTGAGGCTCAAGACCTGCAATTTCCAGGTTACAGAGTTGCCTGGACGTATTCTAAGAGGCTTTGTCTTGCATCAGTCGGATAGATCATTTTCCCCCTCCCGGCGTAAGGCTGGGGGTCATGTGACCCATGCCTTCCTCCACACTAAAATTCTGGCCCGGGTCAGTCTGGGTGGGAGGAGATAGGGTGGCTCGGACTGACAGATGCAGGGCCTTGTAGGAAACCCCGGGAAACCACAGCAATGGAAGGCAGGGGCAGGGCAGGTTGCTAAGCAGCTCTGGCTCCGCCCAGTGACGCCCCTCGCCCACCACCACCGCCGCCTGCCCCAGCGCTATCGCTCTCCTGCAGGCTTTCCGGGCTTCCGAAGCCCTTCCACTCCGGGAGCCCAGCACCCGATGACTCACTGGCGGGGGGGCCCTCCCTATCTTTCACTTTCACCCAGTACCCAGAAGGGGAGGAACTTCCTCCTCCATTTCCTCCCTCGGCTCCGGGCCCTGGAGGGAGAGAGCTTTGTGGCTCTAGCGCCGCCCCCCACTCCCACCCCCACCCCACCCCTTGGTCTGCATACAACGTGGGAGCTGCGGGCAGGGAGAGTGATCAGGCCAGGAAAGCTTCTAAACCCCTGAAACACACCCCCCCACCCCCAAACAGGGCAGGGTTGGCACTGCGTGGGGCCACAGGGGTAACCTTTTGGACAAACCCACTTTTTCTTGCTGTGAAGTCCACATTCCCTGACAGCCAACCCAATTATAACTAGAAACCCAAAAGCCAGTCGCCCTCTGGTCCCACACAAAGCTGCAGGGTAGAGGGCCGTCCAGGCGACAGAAGCCCAGCTCTCTGCCCTCACAGCACACACTAGAGGCCCAGGTGTACTCTGAGAGCCCTTGGAGGAAGACCGCAGGAGGGGAGCCTGCCAGGTCCACCCTGGGCTGCAAAGCACCCCCTACCCCCAAAGCAGCCCAGCCTCTGGGACCCTGTGGGCCACAGCCCCAGGGTTGGGGCCTGGAGGCAGGGGAAGGCCCGAGAGTGGATGCACACGATAAATAAGGGTTCAGGGCCAGAGCTCATTACCTGTCTCTGGGGGCAGGGGTCCCCCAGGTCTGGGGAGAGAGGATGGGGGTCCCTTGCAAGGGGATCCCAGACAGGGCTGCAGGACCTGTGAGCCCTCAGTACGGGCTCAGTTTATTGGCACCCCACTCTACACATCAGAGGGCCATGATCCAGCGCCCCATTCCCACCCACAGCCCCACAGGCTCTCATTGTATTGGGTAAGTCTGCCCCAAAAGACCTCTTTCGAGGATTGAAAAGCAAGGTTACATATTTTGAGGATTAAGGTACTACGCTTGACCCAAGCCATGGTATTGCAATCCTTTATATGCATGTAAAACTCGGGCACTGGGTAAGCAAGACTAAGGAGGGGGGGGGGGAAATAATCTCTGCATTTGAACGATGGTGCTGGTGAAGAATATTGAAGGTACAGTGGACTGCCAAAAGAACACACAGATCTGTCTTGGAAGAAGTCCAACCCGAGTGCTCCTTAGAGGCAAGGATGGCAAGGCTTCCTTCCACATACTTTGAACATGTTATCAGGGGAGACCAGTCCCTGGAGAAAGACATCATGCTTGGTGACGTGGAGGGGCAGCGGGACAAAAGGACTGACATGGTGGCTGCAAAAATGGGCTCAAACCTAACAACAAGGGTGAGGATGGCGCCGGAGCAGGTGTTCTGTTAGGCTGCAGGGTGGGGGGGGGAACGACTATGAGTCGGGGGCAATTCACAACACCTAGCAAAAGCAACAGCAATGAAAACAACAACAGGCAGGCTCTGCAAGCTGGAGCAGGGGCTCGCGCAGAAGAAATGAAGGGGAGCAGAAATGGGGAGGCCAAGTCACCCCAGAAGATCCCTGTTACCGAGCACCCCCTGGAGGACTGAAGCCCCTCTGCCCCAGCAAGCCCTGGCCATAGCTGGGAAATAGGGCGACACCAATGAACTTAAGAGGAAAGGGGAGGGGCACACCTAGGCAAGAGAGCACAAATAATAGTGGCGGTAGTGATGATTATGATAAAAACTAAAAATGCACTGCCATCGTCGTCAGTTCCAACGCCTAGTGACCCTACCTAGGGTTTCTGGGGCTTTGTGAATCTGTACAGGTGTAGACAGCCTCCTCTTTCTGATGGGCAGCCGCTGGATATGAACTGACAACCTGGAGGTTAGCAGTCCAACACTTCCCCAACAGAACCACCTGGGCTCCTTGCTGCTGATTCATAATGATTAACAGTCATTCCTGCAGCAACCTTTTAGGGCAGGCGTTGCTATTTTAACTTCCATTTTACAGGAGAGCTAGAGGAAGCTCAGAGGGGCTCAGTCACTTGGCCATGGTCACACAGCGATGACGCTGCAGAGCCAGGACTTCAGCCTAAGTCTATGTGACTGACTCCTAGAACCAGCCTTTATCCCTTCTCCCCGAGACATGCTGCTGAGACACCAGGCCAGGCTACACACCCCACTTCCACAGCAAGCTCACCACCATCTCAGGCCACAGGCCTGGGAAAGGCAGCTCTGGACACAGCTAACCTCCTCACAGGCGCCGGGAAGCCCCTCACCGCTGCCTGAACCTTGGCAGGCAAATCTTTCGTCATTCTCCCCAGACACAGTCCAGAAGTAGGTCAGCCCTACAGGAAGGCACCGAGGGCCTCAGCCTCACTGGAGGGCCAGCAGGTTCGTTGATATGAGACGATGCCTCCTGCCCTGACTACTGTCTGCCCCGCCTGCTGGGCCTGGACTTTAGGCCCTGCCTGCCTCCAGGCCCAAAACCCGGTGCTAGTGTTTTAAGCCCTTAGAACCCAGTAGCACCTCACAGCCTGTAGCTCTTAGCCACTTCCTCCCCATTTCGTTGACTCCAGTTCTACTCCTCAACCCGAAGCTCCCCAACCCCCAGGTCAGGGGCTGCTCAGCCTTCAGCACCATGAGGAGGAGGAAGGACAAAGCCATCGTTTCGGAAGGCTCAGCTAGGGGCTAGGGGCCAAGTCCTCAAGGTTTAGGGGAAGAGGGTGTTCATAAGGAACCCTTGCAGGCAGCTCACCCTGGGTCCAGCTGCAGGGGCCTCAGACAGCGAAAGGAAACCCACAGTCGCTTGGCGGGGCCTCTGAAGTTGCAACCAGCTCTGTCAGGCTGTTGTTTCCCCCGTCCCTGCCTCCCAGTTGCTTGCTGACCAGACCCCCAGACGGGTCCTGAGGTGTGGGGGCGTCAGTAGCCTGAGATCCACGAGAAGCACATTCTTTCTATAGTACCGAGGAGGAGCATGGTACCAAAGCTGCAAATGGGCTTTGCAGGCATGTGTGGAGAAAGTGCCGGAAAGGCCTCAGGGTAGCATGTTCCAGAGGCCTATAGCCCAGCCCCATGAACTGGCTGGCCCCTGGAGAATTCAGGGAGCCTTCACCCTAGTCCCCAGGCCTATTCACTCACCCCGTGGGGCATTTCGCACATTCATCTGGGACACAACTGCTGTGAGCCGTGGTTGCACCGGAGGAGGAGAAGGTCCTCTGTCTGGGCCCAGCAGCCACAGGGACTCAAGCGTTAGAACCAAGTAGAGAAACAAATGTTCCAAGTTCCTGTTCTTAAGCGAGGCCACCACACAGTCGCCCTCCCCCAACTCACACAAGGCGAGGGGGCACCCGCATGCGGGCCACACAGCCCCAAACATGGTGTCCAGCAAGGGCCTGACTCCCCAGTCTACCCCACTACCACCACCACCAAACAGTCTTAGGGCCAACACTTAGTCCTCTCTCAACATTGGCTCCAAGTTTAGCTCCACCTTCAGGGCCTCCAACTTGCTGTTCCCATGTGGCCTCTGGGTCTCTGACCAGACAGAACCCTTGACCTTGGACAGGGTCTTACCCATCCTATCTGGCCAAGTTCTCCTCACCCTGCAGGTTGCAGACCCTGCTCCCTCTAGCACCAGGAGCCTCCCAACCCCAAAAACCCACTGGTGTTGAGCCAGTTCTACCTCACAGCCACCCTTAAGCCAGAGAATAGCTCCTTAGGATTTCTGAGACTGTAACTCTCAACGAGAGCAGAGAGCGCCACCCCCTTTTTTTTCTCCCTCAGAGCAGCTGGTAGGCTTGAACTACCAACCTTGAAGTTAGCAGCCCAGGGCTTAATCCACAGTGCCACCACCTCATAACTCCCTGCCACCGAATTCCCATTGCCCACGTCCTCATCCCCAGCACACAGCCAGTGTCACTTGGAGCTATCATTTGGATGCTCACTCAAGAAGGCCGTGGAAGGTCAAGGCCATGCCTGGGCAGAGGCACTACTCCTGACCGGCATCTCTACTCTGGGTTCGTGCCAGTCCTGACATTCAACCTCCCTCCCTGGGTCACATCGAGCTCCCCATGATGCCAAGGGGAAGCGAGGAGACCCCACCCTCTCCCGACCCCAATAATGTCCCCAAGATCTTGCTAGCTGACCAGCAGCTCCAGTCCTTCTCCAATTGCTCCGCCAGCCACTTGCCCCATGATGTCCTCTCAACTGCCACTCACGGCCCCACGCCACATATAGGCCAGCTAGAGAAGTGCCGGCCTGACCCCTGCTGCACTCCCTCCTACAAGGTCCATTGCCTGGACTATGGCCAGGGCTAGAGTCTGTGGCTCTGTTTACCTCATGCACTGACATGGCTGATGTGGGCCTCAAGAGGCCAAGACACCACGGCCAGGAGGACTCAAAAACTCTTGTTTAGATACTCTGGGGCCTTTGGCTGCAGCCTGTCATCTCTAAGCAGTCTGGCATTGCCACCTGCTACAGTTGCC